TTTGGTGCGGTTAAGTGCAATAGAAGTTTAAGAAAAAAAGTTCAAGAGAGTTTTAGATTTGCGGCTAAGGGGTGTTTCGGGTTTCGGCTTGTTTAAGGTTCAGGGTTCAGACCCTAATTAGACCCTAAACCCTAAACCCTAACCCTACTGTAGATTCAAGGCTCCAAGCGATGAGCTTAGGAATCGGGCCCCAAGCCTCTCAACATGACCTGAACGTTCCTTGACAGACGGACTTCGGGTTTACCGTTTAAGAGTTGAGGGTCGGGGACAGATTTAGGGTTGGGGTTGAGGGTTGAGAAACCCCTAAACCCTAAACCCTAAACCCTAAACCGTAAACCCTAAACCCTGAAAGCAGCTCTATTGGCAGGGTGGCGACCGCTGCAGGTCTTCGGCCACTCTAAGATGCACCCTCAAGCTTGGGCTTTCGGGCTTCAGGCCGATCAGGGGCTAGGGTTCTAGGCCCTTTGGCCCTAAACCCTAAACCCTAAACCCTAAACCCTAAACCCTACACCCTAAACCCTAAACCCTTAACCAACCCTAAACCCTAAGCCCGAAACTGCAGGGCTCTTCAGGAACTGCACAGTTTGTGGCCTGCGCCAGCATCTGCAGAAGCTTGTTCTGCGAATCTTCAGTGGAGTCTGCCTTCAGCTTGGTTAGGGTTCAGGATTTAGGGTTTGGGGTTTACGGTTTAGGGTTTAGGGTTTAGGGTTTAGGGTTTAGGGTTTAGGGTTTAGGGTTTAGGGTGGATCCCTAAACCTCCAAACCCAGCCCCAAGTTTGTCAGGGCTCAGCTATGTTGGGTGCCCCAAAGCCAGCCCGAACCCCCGGAATCCTCAAACCCACAGGCGCCACGCCACTGCACCTCGAAGCCCCCCCTTATCCCAACACATCCCTAAACCCGACAACCTAAGTAAACCCTAAACCCTAAACCCTAAACCCTAAACCCTAAACCCTAAACCCTAAACCCTAAACCCTAAACCCTAAACCTCCCCCTAAACCCCAAATTCCTCGCCACGAGGCAGCGTCCGCCTTCAGAACAGCCAGGGAAGACTCGATGGCAGCCTGCGTGCACCCCGGAGCCATGCGCAAGGTTCGGGTTTGGGGTTTGGGGTTTAGGGTTTAGGGTGTTGGGGTTAGGGTTTAGTGTTTAGGGTTTAGGGCTTAAAGGGCTTAAAGGGCTTAGGGTTTGGTAAGTTAGGATTCGGCGAATCTTCCGGTAAAGAAAACAAGCACAAAAAACACACACACACACACATTTTAACTAACTAACTAACTATCGAACGAACTAACAAACTAAACCCTGAACCCTGAACCCTAAACCCTAAACCCAAAACCCTGAACCCTAAACCCTAAACCCTAAACCCCAAACCCTAAACCCCAAACCCTAAACCCTAAACCCTTGTTTTCGGCCTTCTCTGCAGCGAGGCCGACTCGGGCTTGAAGGTCTTTGGCCGCGGTTTTGCGGATCGAGGCTTCGTCGGCCTTTGCTTTGGCAACCTGTGGAGGCAGATCCAACAAAGTTTGGGGTTTTAGGTTTAGGGTTTAGGGTTTCGGGTTTAGGGTTTAGGCTTTAGGGTGATACCCTTGCTAGAATTAAACAGTCATGAGTAGACCATACACCCAGAAGAGCCCCAGAAGCCTAACCCCCCTGCCCCTTGGCACTCAGCAAACCCTAAACCCTAAACCCAACGCCCTAAACCCAACGCCCTAAACCCTAAACCCTAAACCCTAAACCCTAAACCCTAAACCATAAACCCTAAACCCTAAACCCTAAACCCTAAACC